AAAAGGTCTTGTGCAGCAGATTTGCCTAATGCAGTACGTTGTTTGATTTCTTGACTGCTGCTTCCGTGAGTGTTGATAGTTGATCCAAGAAGAATGAAGTCCTTGACCACTTCAGTCTTTTCTCCGTTTGTTTATTGGCCCACTGGTGAAGATTTTTGTTTTCTTGACATTGAGATGCAATCCATACTGAAGGCTGTGCTCTTTGGTCTTCAGCAGTAAGAATTTTAAGTCCTCTTCACTTTCAACAAGCAAGGTTGTGTCATCTGCATATCGCAGGTTGTTATTAAGTCTTTCTCCAATCCTGATGCCACGTTTTTCTTCTTATAACCCAGTTTCTTGGATTATTTGCTCAGCACACAGGTTAAATAAGTATGGTGAAAGAATACAACCGTCACACACCTTTTTTTATTTTAAATCATTCAGTGTTCCCATGTTCTGTTCGAACAACTTGGTCCAGGTACAGATTCCTCATGAGGACAAGTGTTCAGGAATAATCATACTTCGCAATGTTGTCCGTAGCTTGTCATGATCCACACAGTTGAAAGCCTTTGCGTAGTCAATAAAGCACAGGCAAACATATTTCTGGTATTCTCTGCTTTCAGCCAAGATCCATCAGACATCAGCAATGATATCCCTCGTTCCACGTCCTCTTCTGAATCCGGCTTGAACCTCTGGAAGTTCTCTGTCAATGTATGCTAACATCTAGCAAAACTGGCAGTTGACAAAAATTAAGTAGAACGCATAAAAATCAATACTCTAGGCATTAGAAAGCTGAAATGAACTGGTATTGACTATTTTGAATCTGACAATCATATGATTCACTATGTTGGGAATGACAAATTCAAGAGAAATGGCATAGCATTCATCATCAAAAAGAACATTTCAAGATCTCTCTTGTAATCTGCATACGTCTACAAGGAGGACCAGCCATCACCACTATAATTTAAATGTACGCACCCACCACTAAAGCCAGTGATGGTGAAACTGAAGAATTCTACCAACTCCTTCACTCTGAAATTGATCAAACATGCAATCAAGATCAATTGATCATTACTGGTGATTGGAATGAGAAGGCTGGAAGCAAAGAGGAAGAATCAGTAGTCGGAAAACAACGATGCTGGAGATCACATGACAGAATTTTGCAAGACCAATGACTTCTTCATTGAAAATACTTTTTTTAAACAAGATACAAAATAACTACCCACATGGATCTCATCAGATGGAATACACAGAAATCAAAGTGACTACATCCGTGGGAAGACATGGCAGAAAAGCTCCGTATCAGCCAAACCAGGCCAGGGGCAGCTTGTGAACCAGACAGCATCAGTTGCTCATATGCAAGTTCAAGCTGAAGCTGAAGAGAATTAAAATAAGCCTACGAGAGCCAAAATACGACCCTGAACATACCACACCTGAATTTAGAGATCATCTGAAGAACAGATTTGATGTATTATATGCTAAAGACCGAAGACCACAAGAGTTGTGGGATGACATCAAGAACATCATACAGGAAGAAAGTCAAAGGTCATTAAGAAGAAAGAAAAGACAAAAATGGATCTCAGAAGAGATTCTGAAACTTGCTCTCTAGCTAAAGTAAATGGAAGAAATGAGGCAGTAAAAAAACTGGACAGAAAACTTCAAAGGGCAGCTTGAGAAGATATAATCAAATATTATAATGAAATGTGCAAAGATTTGGAGTTAGAAAACCAAAAGGGAAGAACAGAGTCAGCATTTCTCAAGCTGAGGGAACTGAAGATAAAATTCAAGCCTTAACTTGCAATATGGAAGTATTCTTTGGACAAAATGTTGAATGATGCAGAAAGCATCAGAGGCCAATGGAAGGAATACACAGAGTCACTGTACCAAGAAGAAATGGTCAATGTTCAACCATTTCAAGAGGCAGCATGTGATCAAGAAGAGCTAATGATACTGAACAAGTCCAAGGTGTACTGAAGGCACTGGCAAAAAATAAGATTCCAGGAATTGATGGAATACAAATTGAAATC